TAAGGAACCCAGCAAATTGCATCAAGTCACTGACTAGTGTCAGTGACTATACAGCAATCCTCATACTAAGCAAGCATGCAGCGACAGTGGAGAGGAAAACTCCCTTTTAACAGGAAGAAACCTCCAGAGAATCCTGGCTCAGTATAAGCAGCCATCCTCCACGACTCACTGGGGATCGAGAAGACAGAGCAGGCACACACACACACACACACACACACACACACACACACACACACACACACACACACACACACACACACACACACACACACACACACACACACACACACACACACACACACACACACACACACACACACACACACACACACACACACACACACACACACAAGTAATGTGTCTATAGTTATATTGTGATGCAGGAAGGTGTGACCTAGACTGAAACTGAATGAGATTCAAAAAAAGTTCTAATCTTTTAAACAACGCTGTTGGTCCTCTTGGTCCTTGTTCAGGTTTTCTAAAACACTGTGTTAAAAACATTGGTGTGTTTTTAGACGGTTCTTGTAATCTTTACAGACAGGTGAGTGCAGTGGTCCAATCAGGTTTTTATCATTTAAGGCAGATAGCAAAGGTGAAGCCATACCTTCCTGCTAATGTCCTCGAACATGTCATCCACCTGTTCGTGTCTTGCCGATTGGACTACTGCAACTCCCTGTATTCTGGCCTGGACCAGTCCTCCCCACACCGACTTCAGCTGGTCCAAAAGGCAGCAGCTCGCTTGCTGACTGGAACCAGCAAGTGGGATCACATAACCCCAGTTCTGGCCTCTCTCCATTGGCTTCCTGTCTCTTACAGGATCCGTTTCAAAATTTTACTTTTTGTTTTTAAATCCCTTCATGGCCTGGCCCCAGTTTACATCTCTGAGCTGCTGTCCGCTTACGTCCCTGCCAGAACCATGAGGTCCAGCTCTCAAGCTCTTTTAACAGTTCCAAAAACCCGCCACAAGACTAGTGGCGACAGAGCGTTCTCTGTGGTTGGGCCCAAACTGTGGAACAAGCTACCTCTCCACATCAGGACCACACAGAATCTAGAGCATTTTAAATCCCTTCTTAAGACGCAATTTTTTGATTTGGCTTTTAATGCAGGTTGACTTGAGCATCTTAATAGTTTTTAATAGTTTTTATCATAGATTGTGACTGTTGTGTGCTCATCTTATTTTAGGTTTTTATTGTTGATTTGTTGCATCTTGATTTGTTTTACCTTGTACAGCGCTTTGGTGTAGCTTTGCTGCTGTAAATGTGCTCTGTAAATAAAATTGACCTTGACCTTGACCAAAGCTGCATTATTGGTTCTAGAAAGGTGAAATCTAAGCCCCGCCCCTATTTAAAGTGGGGTTTTCACTTTTTGACATAGATAGATGATTTGAGAGAGTAAAATCATCTATTTTCTCTGTCCAGAATGTGGACTTTGTCATCTTCAAAGGTGTATCCCTTGTCCTTCAGGTGAAGGTAGACTGCAGAGTTTTGACCTGAAGAGGTGGCTCTCCTGTGTTGTGTTATGTTCTTGTGTAATTGTTGTTTAGTTTCTCTAATGTAAACATCTGGACAGTCCTCACTACACTGGACTGCATAAACGACCCCACTGAGCTTCTGTTTGGGTGTTTTGTCTTCTGGATGGACCAGGTTCTGTCTGAGGGTGTTGTTGGGTTAAAGTTTACTGGGATGTTGTGTTTGGAGAAGATTCTTCTAAGTTTCTCTGAGACTCCTGCCATGTGATCATGTCATCATGTGATGATGGTGCCTTTGTGTAAAGGATGTTGTTGGGTTGGTAGCAGAGCTCTCATGTTTAGTGTTAAGTTCAGTGAGAACATGGAATGGGATCAAGATTTTTCTACTGACAGGAAAAAGATCTCAGCTAACATAGCTGTAGATCACAACGGATAACTCTCTGTGGTGCATTTATTTTATATTTTACATTTATTTTACTACCTCTTACTAGAGCTGCCTTTAGTAAGCACAAAATATCTTTGGTTGTACACCTGTGCAATAGCAATAAAGTATCTTGATTTCTGTTAAATGTACTTCCTGAATGAGTGACCTTTTCAGGCTAAAATAACAAAATGACAAATACAGACAGAAGGACGACTTATTTCTTCTTTTATAATGTGTTGCATCACCACCTGGTATCAGAACAGGACTCAGTATTGGAAGATAATCAAAAATCAAACAACTTGGACTCAGATCAGGGGCAGAAATGTGGTTGTAACATCTCTAGATATAAGTCAGCTTTAAAAACTAAAACTATTATTTATGAACTAACATTAACACTAATGACACTAATTTATATATTTTTATTATGTTGTTTGAACCCAAGGGTCTCATTATCTGAATTTTCTAACTTATTGGATTGCTCTATAAGTGCCCCTTTTTTTTACTTTGAGCACCCGCCCCGTCAAAGGTCTCTGCAAGGCCCTGTTTTGGAGAAGGCAAGAGTTAAATTTCCAATATTTGTTTATTCTATAAGTGTTGTTTTTCGGTTTTATTTTAAGCGATATAAGGTAATGGTCCATTAGTGGGGCAGCAGATATATCTGAGATGAAGTCATATAATAAAAGTAAGTCATTAGTAATAAGCCAATGGTCGATCCTTGATTTATTAGTTGAATTAAACCATGAGAATTTCTGAGTGACTGGGTTAAGGTGTCTCCATATATCCATAAAATTATGTTCAAAACAGAAGTTGGTAAATAATGGATTTGGGTAGCTTATCTCATATTTGGATGGCCATCTATCCAGAAATTCATCCTGAACAAGGTTGAAATCTCCTCCAATAAGGACATTACTGGTGGAATGTTTGGCTTTTAGATGGTCTAACCGTAAACCTATTTCTTCCAGCAATATTTTATTTTGAGTTAAGGAATTATATCCATATATATTTACTAGAATAAAAATTGAATTTTCTATGTTTGTGGTAAGAACTAACCAATGGCCAACAATATCATTCTCAATAGAAGTAATTTTACCTCTAAAGTTTTTCAACAAGATGGCAACCCCGGCTGACCTTGAAGAGCCATGAGAAAAAAAGGCTTCATCTCCCCATTGCTTAGTCCAAAAGTTGCTGTCTTCATGTGTAGAATGAGTTTCTTGTAAAAAGGTAAACGTGGCATTTTTCCCTTTGCAGAATGAGAAAAGGCTTTTCCTTTTAGTGATATCTCTCAACCCTCTAGCATTGATAGAGATTAACGAAAGTTTGCTGTTTATAATAACCATATAATGAACAAAAAAGAACAATATAGGATGAGCTAACCTAAAGCAATAAGAGAACCTAGGTAGCAATCCCCAAAAATGGTAATCTGAGTGTACCACATTTATAACATTTGCGGATCTGTATCCTCATATAACTACATAGACGTATATGTAAATAATCATAAGTGGTCTCATTTTCACTTACACATGTTTATGTTAAACTGGCTAGGGTGTAACCCGCTGTCCATTGATGAAGGCATATGGACCTTTAAAGGTGGTTTTCAGCCCTGCTTTTCTCGCTTGTTCCACCCTAGGCCATACCGCAAGACGTGCTTCACGGTCCTCCTTGGTGAGGTCCTCGGCGAATCGGATGTTGAGCTCTCTGCAGGTGGGATATTGTTTAGTGGATCTCCAAAGTTCATCTCTGTAGAAACGGCTGGTGAATTGTATGATGACTTGTCTTGGGTGATCAGGGTTTTGGGGGCCGATACGGTGAACAGAATCCAAAATGAAGTCAACCTTCTCCTTCCAGCTGGGTTGGATCTTTTTAATGATGTCCGATACACTTTGTCTTGTGTCCTCCTCTTTGTCCTCTTTTAACCCTTTGAGCCGTAGGTTCCATTTTCTTTGGTATCGGTCAAGGTTTGAAGCTTTGTTTTCCAAGTTGTCAACTTTTTTGGTTAACACTTCATTTGTGGTTTTCAGCTGGGTTATTTGTTTTTCCATCTGCTTATTTTTCTCTTTACAGTCTTGAATTTCAGCGCTGTTAAATTCAACCGCTTTGGCAATGTTAGAGATGGAGAGTGTATTTTGTTTGAGGTCAGCGCCAAAGCTTTCCATCATTTTTTGTAGACCTTCAATGGCGGCTAGTAGAGCACTGTTGGATACATTTGAGTCGGTTTCTTCTTCTCCTTTTTGTTTTTTGTGTGATGTTGTGGCTTTGCAGGGTGATGAAAGTGGGTTTTTATTACCTCTTGAGTTGGTGTCCATATTCTCCGAACCAAGGTAGTCGCGAGTTAGCAGGGCTTTGTGAGCTTTGCTGTTAGCTTTAGCCATTTCTTCGTGTTTCATGTATGGCCTCATCCACTCTTGTTTAGCTAATACTAGTACTAGTTGTAGAGGGTAGTTTTATATTTCCGGTGAGATTTATCATTAATCATTAAGTAATAATAGTTCTTAAATTAGACCATTCTTTGAGGTTGCTACCGGATCTCCTTACAGAATGTCTGCTCCTTCCGCCATCTTGCCTCCGGCCTACCCCGAGCCGATCTTGCACCCGAGCAGATCTTGTACCGACACCGCAATTGTTGTGAGTGTCGAGTCCAGCAACCGGTGCGCAAAGCATGCTGGGATACCCTTGCTCCTCTGAGGATCCATCAGACCCATCCTCGAAATGTGGGTGGAGCGAGGACGCATTTGAGGACGCGAGAATGAGTATTCTTGGAATTCGGACAGTACTCGTCGCTGCGTTGTGACGTCATGGACCTCAAAATGCGCTCTTACAAGCATCCTTCCTCTGGATTCGGACACACCCTCAGGGTCTGCATCCTTCGAAGGACCCAGCCTACTCGCCCGACGTGGGCTGGGTCCTCCTGACATGGGCTGGGTCCTCTGTCGGCCGAGTAGACCGGATGTTAACGGCTGTGAATTTGGACAGGCCCAGCCTTCATGAATTCCCGCCTCCCTCGGCGAACATTCCATCTCCTAGCAACCGTGGAACCTGAGCAGAAGGGAAAAGGAACTTCAAATGATGGAGCTGGAAGTTTTGTTGAGCTTTTTAATAATTTCCTTGGTTATGGAGGAGTTAGAAGACATGTATCGCCGACGAAGGCATTTTCTATTGCTCAGGCTGAGACGCAACAATGAACAGGTAAAGTAATTTCTATTAAGTAGACTTTACCTATCGGCTATAGTTAGTTTAATGAATAGCTTTAGCAACTTTTTACAGGTTGTAAACAGACTCTGTATTAAATTCAAAACCTATACACAAATATAAACTACAACTTCAAATCTTTTATACTTACTCAACTAAAAAAAACTCCCCACCAAGTAAAAAGAAAAAAATGTGAAAATGGCTTAAATTAAAAAATAATAATTAAAAAATATGGAAATCATTAAATAACAAATAACTGTTAGCAGAAAGAGCACATTACATGGAACCATCAATTACCTGTAGAGGGACATCTAGTGGACAAAAATAAGATCTTGACTTGTTATATGACTTAAAAAACTTAATTAGAGAAAATTGATGTTTTGGTCTTCATTGCATACATTCTTCAAAAGTTACGTTTTTAGAAATTTGAAAGAATAGCATAAAAATGCACAATATTATCACATTTACATTGAGAATAATGTTATGTTTTATAAAAACTTGAAATTACAGCTTTGAAATAAATCTTTATTTTTCTGTATTTCTCTTTAACCAGACTAGACCCAGATACTGCAGGATTCACCTGAGTGTCCCAGTCCTGGACCGTTTCTTCAACCAGCAAAATCCGATACCAGACTTTCGTTTGAGCAGGGAGTCCCTTTCAGTGCTGCTGAACCACGATCGGTGTCATGGTTGGGGTGCCACAATTGAGACCCTGGTGTTTCTTTTCTGGTTGGCAAGCGGAGCATCTTACAGGGTGGTCTCCAGAGCGTTCGGGATACCTCGTTCGACTGTCCACCACATCATCCACAGAGTCACGGAGGAGGTTGTGGCCATTCGCCACCAGGTCATCCACCTTCCAAAAACCCCTGAAGACCTGGAGGTGGTGTCCCAGGGGTTTGCAGGGCTGGCACGGCATAGAGCTTTTTTTAAAGCTGCAGGTGCCATCGACGGTTGCCACATCAGGATCAAGCCTCTAAGCGGCCCTGATGGTCACTGCTACAGGAACAGGAAACTGTTCCCCTCTATCATCCTGCAGGCTGTGTGTGACCATCAGGGTTGCTTCATTGACATGTACATGGGCTGGCCGGGGTTGGTGCACGACTCCAGGGTGCTCCGCCACAGCCCGCTGTACAGGCAGTCAGTCTACCCTCCTCCAGGGCACTTCATCCTCGCAGATGGTAGGTACCCATGCATGCAAAGCCCACTCCCACTCATCACTCCCTACAAACGTGGGAATCAAGGTGTGGCTGCCCAGCGCTTTAACAGCCATCATTCCAAGGCACGCTCTGTGATACAGTGTGCCTTGGAATGATGAAAACCAGGTTCAGAGCCATCTTCCTGCAAGTGCTGGAGGTCCACCCCACCTTTGTGCCTCAAGTAAGTGTACGAAATGTGGCTTTTCTCATTTCTTTGAAATATATTTCAATTAATTAATTGTTACCGCTTGTGCCGTCCTCCACAACATCTGCCTCAGTGCTGGAGACTTTGTGGTGGCAGAGGATGAGCCTGAGGAGGATGGTGGAGGTGATGAGGGGGAGGCTGGTTTGGAGGATGTCAGTGGTGCACGCTGGCGGGACCAGCTGTGCTGTGAGGTGTCTGCCCTGGAGGAGGTTCCACTGGATCATGACTACTGGTAACAGGTAACAAATGAATGAATTTAGTTTTTTTTAAATAGTCTAACATTTCACCAATAGTATGTAGATTTTGTATTTATCTCCTATTTGTCTATTTATGTTTCAGTCTTGGTCATGTAGCAGCCGTCGACAGCCAGCCCTGCAAACCGATGGACGATGCAGTTGACAGTCAAGACGCATCTTGGACTCAGTGGTCTCCTTCAAAAAGCAGCTGAAGACTCACTTGTTCAAGCTGGCTTTTGTATGACCTTCTTCACCACTCTCTCTTTATTCTAATCTCCCCATCTATTCCACCTTCCTCAGGATCCACTGATTTCCTTGTTTCCTATTCACAATCTCTCTTTCTTAACATTTTTTCTTTTAAATCGCAATAGCTTATTCTAGCTAATTTTAAATATATTTTTAAACATTTTCGAAATGCTTTTTTATATTTTTACAATTTTTATACTTTTTGTTTTTGTGAAGCGCCTCGTGATTTTCATCTTGAGAGGCGCTATAGAAATGATATTTTCTTCTTCTTCTTCATCTTGAAGCTCTTTCTGCAGACCACCCAGTAGGATGCTTCACTTGTCAACCAGAAAAGAGCAGTCACGGGTCTCAGCTCCAGCACTCCATCCATGACATTCATCTGTTCAGCAGATCCAGCAGCCCTGTTAGGGACTTCCTGCTTCAAAGTTGTTGAAATGGTCTTGGAACAGGACACTCAGGTTAATCCTGCACTAAATATGCATTTTTGTTATTTTTCTTTGTCAGATATTTCTCTTATTTTGTATGTTTCCCATCATGATTTTGTGTATATATGTTCAACCATGTTCAAACTCAATTGTTGTAAATAAAAGTATTAAGTTTGATCCATTTCTCCATTATTTTCTCAATTATATTTTTTGTTTAATACTTTAAAACATTACAGGTTACAGAAAAGAATCTTGAAGTTCATTTTAATACTGTTTCAAGACATTCTCAATATTTTTAATATGTCACTGAAGCTTCCTGTTGTCAACATTTACATGAGTGATATTGGTACTTTTAACTTATAGTTGACCACCAGTCCACTGTGGTGCTTTTAGAGGCAATTCAAATGCACCCACAATAGGCTAAATTTTATGTTTGTTTTTTTAATTAAAATGATCAAAATCACACACTTAAATAATGTTTTTGGGACTGTTGGAGAGCTAATTCAGAGAAAATAGTTTGCAAAGCTGAGCCTGAGCAAAGATGTGATAATAGTTTTTAATACTTTCTAAAGGTCTTAATTTGACCAAAACTGATTTATTACCTTTTAAGACTTTTCAAGACCCAGCAAATACCCTGTAATATTAAACACTTCACATTTGTAAACAAAAATAAAATTCAACAGTTTAATACAGAACTGATTTTATATAGATATTTTTATTATATATACATGTTTAATCTTTATTAATCATTTTTTCGAGCAGACTAAAAAGCCTGCCAAAATTCTCCTTTCTCTCCTGTGCCCTCTGCTGCTCTGCCTCCCTCTGCAGTCTCATGTCCTCCATGATCAGCTCCAGAAGCTGGTCATCGCTGTCCCTTCTCCTTTTTCTTCCACCTGGCTGACTTCCTCCTGGCTGAGCATCTTCATCCTCACTCTCCTCCCTTTCCTCCACTGCTGTACTTGGCCCTGGAGTGTCCTCACGGATAGAGGCAATTAGGACAGGCGGACTGGTTGAGGGTCTCTGTCCTAATACCTCATCCATGAGGTCAAACCAGGGCCAAGTAGCAGCAGTGGGCTTCCCACTAACCCCCTCTCCTGACCCTGGATACTTGCATACCTAGATTAAAAAAAAGTCAGTTTACACAAATAACTACAAACCTGTTTAACCTTTTTAGATTTAGCATGTATACATGTTATATTTTCCCACACACATCTACATACTACATTGTTTTTGATCATGGCGGACGTAGCAGGCAGCGTGGCATCAGCTCCTGGTCCAGTTCCTAAACTATCTCGACTAAAACCAGAGGTGTACAGGACGACAGATGGCAAGGTGATTGTGGAGGATGAACTTCTTAATTTCCTTGCTGTTAAAATTAAAACCTTGAGCCAGGATGAAATTGTGTTGTTGGCCACGAACACATTTGAATCTGAGGGGATTGAAGCATCAAAAAAAGTTTTGTTTGAGCTCTGCCCAAGTACTTCACAGCGGTGCATCAGCTATAAAGGGCAGCACAAAGACGCCAATAATATTAAGCTCTGCCTTAAAGTGCTGAATGAGTGTGGGGAAAATAACCCTAGATTTGTATCCCATCACTTGGAGGATTGTGGTCCATTTTGGAGCAGTTTGGAGTAGTCCGGGGGGACTGTGACCTCTGAATGACCTATTAAATCAAGTTTAATATCTCAAAAACCATAGCAGCACAAACGTCAATTTTACCTGCACAAATCAGCACAAACAAAGCACTAACCGAGCAGCCTATTTGCCTCCACTTTTGAAGCTGACGGGGGGTCAGCTTCACAGAGCTGCAAAAGCACCCACATTTTCTTCATGGCCGAGCGAGCGGTGCAGAGCTTTTAGGACATACATATTGATTGGGAGAAACGGACTAACACCGGTAAGTAGGATTCACACTACTATACACAGTTATTAGATTATTTTGTACATTATTAAATTGTTTTGTGGCACTAGGTGTGTGTGTGATATATTACTAGCTGGGTGTGTGTCTGTGGCTGGGTACTGACTCTGAACCTCAGTAGCTTTAGGATTAACCAAAAACATTCTGTACATAAGTACTTGTACGAAAATATTTTTTCAGTCTTAAATATTGGGAATTTGCCAATAAAATGTCGTTGTTGTTAACTAGGTGTGACTCTGTCTCTGGCCTCTGTGCTCTCTTTCCTGTGATTTCTCTTTCAGGTGACCACGACGGCGCAGGAAAGCCTGCGGTTTCCAGTAGCCCTGTGGTCAGTGGCGATATTGAGGGAGCCTCGGTGGTTGCTGCGGGCATCTCTCTCACGGGCTCGGGGTCGCCACCCGGCCCGGGAGCAATAGGTGCGTGCAGCGATGCTCAGCTCAGGGCCCCGCCTGACGAAGGGGGGGGGGGTGTGTGTGCTGAGTGGCACTGAGTTTTCCATTGCGGACTTCGACCTGTTCGGGGGAACCCCTCCTCCGAGCGGGCGGGTCATTGCAGAAATTGACACTGACCTTCCACCACTTCAGCTGACGACGTTGACCTCCGACCCGGAGTTAGGTGGTACACCTTCTAAGGGGTGGAGCTCTAGTCAGTCTGTAACTACTCTGGTTAAACCGGGTTTTTCTGTTCCTGTGTGGGATCCTCCATCATTCTTCAGACGAAAGTATTCTTGGCTTCAGTTTTCAGGACAGAACATGTTCCTAAAGCTAGCAACATGTCTGTGTCTGATTCTACACATGGCTGGGTTTGCTTTGACACCCGTGACGCAACCATTCTTGCCTAACTCCTTTTCAGAACCTCCTCGTCCAACACCTCTAGGTCTTTGGACATCTGAACACCTGCTCTTTCAGCACGATCCAGGTGACAATGTGCATCTTCTTGGTGAACGGGCTCTTAAGAGCCTAAGAACTGTTGTTTTTTCTGATTTACCTGTCTCACACACACGGCATAAGTTTGAGAAACAAAAGGGGGGTGGGGAGCCTCCTCCTGGTCTGCGAGCATCGTCTCTGCATCTCCAGTTCAATCCTATTTCTGATCACAACAACGTCGCCTCCGATAAGCTGCTAAACAACTTTGAACAGGTAAAATCAGGTTCTGATCTAACAACTAAACCATCCGCTTCGCTCCAGTTCCAATCGGGACCCACAGGTAAATTCAAACAAGTTTCTCTGTGGGTTCGTAACACCAGATACAAACCGCTTGACGACCAAATCGATTATGACACTGCTCCCACAGATAAGTTCAAACTCGTTTCTCTGTGGGTTCGCAACACCAGATTCAAACCGCTTAATGAATAAATCGATTCTGACCGGATTCTTTTCCACTACCTGGTGTAATGTGACAAATTCACTCGATTCTTTGTTGGATGAATTTTTAACAAATGTGATATCCTTTGAGTTTTTTTTCAGGTTACCCGTCTTCAGCCAGGGCCCTGTACTAACTCACATTTTTAGGGACAACTAACCTACTGATTTACATTTTTAGAATTGATTTACATCTCTGTCTTTTAGTAGTGCTTTGTGTAGAGTGATTATATTTGATTACAGATTTTAATTTGTTAAAAATTTCCCTTAAAGCCAATTTGCCCTTCATTTTCATGATTTGTTTTTGTTTGTGTATGCCTTTAATCAGTGCAGCCTGCTGATTTTCACATATCAGTTAGGATTTAATTTATTTTATTTGTGTTTTCTCTGCATCACCTTTTCACATGACATGTAGAACAGGGTGCAGAACATTTCTTCTTTAGATAATTCACAAAATGCCTTCACATTTTCCCAGAGGTACCCAAAGATAGGTTTTGATTAATTTCTTTGATTTGCATCAAACACAATCTATCGTATGGGCTGTCTCACTTTGTCTCCTTCTCCGAGCTCGTCTGGACTCCATTCCATCAGAGGGGTCGTCTTCACCTTACTCCACTTGGTTTCCTGTCGCATGGGGCTTCGGTTGTGGTTCGAGAGGTATCGAGGTCTGCGCTGGACTTCGCCTGGACTACGTCCGAGGATTACATCACCTGCCCAGCTTCGCGTGGATACACGAGCTACCTTATCCTTTTGAAAATACCTTTACATTATTGCAACTGACATAGCTTTGCTTTCAAGATTTCCTAAGTGGATTACTTTACAATGAATTGCAACAGTTTTGGCCTTAATCATCTGATCAGGATATACTCCTTTCTACACGAGACCTGTGGAGACGCTTCATCGCTCCTGCCTTCATCTGGAACATTGCATGTCTTCCTTCATGAGTACATCACGTTAATGAGGTCACGACGTCAGGTGGTTTTTGCTTGACCACCATGTCGTCGCAAAAGGGGGTTTGTAGCGTGAGGAAGTATGGTTTTTTTCTGTGCCAAGGGTTGCGTTTGCCCAGCTGGGTCAGAGCTGGGTCGCACAGAACTTTCACCCACAGATTGAGACCTTTGCCGACATGAAGTCTGCAAGATTCAACAGAAACCACAACATCCAACACCTGCAGCTTCCAGCAGAAGGAGTTCTCATGAAATCTAGTCATAACAAAACAAAGTCTTAAACTTCCTTTTCTTTATATTAAATGTTGAATAATCATTATTATCATTTTGCTCATTATAAATGTGTTTTAATCAAATGAATGATTATTATGCTTTGGGTAATCGTAATAACTATAATGAATCAATACTTAATTAAATAATGTTTGAAGATGTTTGATAACGACCTTCACACACACACACACACTCTCACAGTAAACTCAAAACACATTTGCTGGCGCACACGTTTGCTTTGGGAAGAGAAGGGGTTTTGGTAAGTTTCAGTTCATGTTATGCAGTTCGAGTTTGACAACGAGAGAGAGCGGACGTGCTGAACACACACCACGGGGAAGGGAGCCTTCTGTTCCCCCCCACGCTATTCCTGTCAAGCCAGACAGGATAGCCGAATTGCAACCAGCTAACGCAGACTCGTCCAGAGTCTTTGATTTCTGAGTAATTTAAACTTAAGAAAGCGCATCTGCTAAACACTTCATCAACGTGTACCGAGGTCAACTCTGGACCGGAGCGTCACACACCTTCGTCTCCTCTGCCAGCCAAGGTGTGACCTGGATGAACATCCTCCGAGTTCCGAGTCCGAAAGAGGGTCCTAAAGTTGGTGAGGCAGCACACGATCAGATAGCGTTCTGATGCATTTTTCTAATAAGAACTAAGTTTAATGCAAACCATCATTTTTCACTCAGACACCTTTTTCTTCCTGAAGCAACATCAGACGCACACACGCATTCATATCACATCATTCTCCATCTTCACACATTCAACACAAGGTCTATTTGAGCAAGCTTAAAATATCAACTGTTAAAGATTGTCCAACAAGGTTGTCAATGTTGATTATTTTTCCTATGATTGTCATTTCAAATCATTAGTTTAAATCTCTGAATTAAAACTTTTAACTTTCAAACTTGTCTTTTCATTGAACTGAAACACAGACAAATGGATATGATCGTCAGTTTATCGATGAAAACAACCTTTGAGTCTTCTTAACCCTATAAAATCTGGTTATTAATTCATTAAAAATTAATATCACAAATTAAAATGTAGGAGGGTTCCTCTTTAATAAAAGAGCCATAAACCATTACACTACATAATTGGCGAGCCAGCCAGGACTACAGTGGTAAGGGTGCATATAATGATTCGCTTCCATTTTGAATTTCTAATAAATATGATTTGTTATTCAGCCGGGTATACTGTGGTTTTGTCATGGTATTTGAAAATATTATTCTGTGTGCCCCTTTTTAAATTTGAGCACCCGCCCCTTCAAAGGTCTCTGCACAGCCCTGCTGTTGCGAACTGAACGCGGTTTAACATAAAAGCCTCTAGCGCCCTCTCTAGGAGATGAACACCTTTAGAATCAGAGCTGGTGTCACTCAGAGAAAAGCCAATCAGCGACCTCCTCATTGAAGTTTCTGAAAATACCCTCTATGTGATTGAGTCAACAAAACACCCACAAAAATATTTAGAAGCATAATTATTTCCATTTATTACATTTTTATCGATTACATGTGATATTGGAGCCTGGAATACTTGAATGTATTTCAAAGAAAACAATGACACTTTTTAGGTATGAGAAAAACAGATGTTTCCATAAACAAATAAATAAATGAAACAACTTCAATAAAGCAACTCAAATCAGTGTTTGGGGCAGCATTAGTTCTGCCCATTCAACTGCACCTTCATGTAGAAATTAAACTAAAACACCATCTAAACCTAATTATGTAAATCCAGCACAACAGTTCAGCAGGTTCACTGTATTTTTAGGCTTTGACATCATTTATAAACTTCTAAAGAAAATCACGTTTTTGGTGCACGGGGATCTGATTCTGAAATTTTACCTTTAGGGAATTTAGATGTAATAGAGAGATGACATCGAAAAACTCAGAGGACGTTTTGTAACTACAGACAGAACAATGTTTTCTAAGAAGACAACATTAACATAATTTAAAAAGATAACTCAGCCACTCAAAGAAAATACAAAGACCCATTCAGTACAACACCTAGACCTGACATGAGTATGATTGTTATTTGGCATTAGCTCACTGTGCCCTGCTAAATTACATGTTTGCATTCCACTCTTTGCAGGATGTATTTTATAATAAACAGCTGGTTTATATTCTGGCTTTAGTAAATGCCTTCATACAGAATTCATTCAATTCAGATTTGAGATTTAGAGTAATTAAAAACAATCTAAAAGTTTGTATTCTACAGCTGTGGAGGTGGAGCCTTGCATCAAAGTTTCTCAGTTCTTGAACAGTGGGTCATTGTTCTCAATGACAGGTATTTATTCTTCCACAAGGCAGCTTTGTTTTGGGAGCTGTCAGTGTTAGTGTGCAGCTTAGTAGGGCACTTGATTTGCAGATTAAAAAATAGTCCTGAATTAGGAAGAAAATGTTGAAAAGTTGAAAAATAAATATAAAAATACAAATAAAGCAATAAAATAGTTGTGGAGGTAAATTGTATCACAGGAAGTCAGCGACACAGCTGCACTAACCTTTCCTTCTGAACAGGACGATACTGGACACGACTGAAGACTTTGTGTTTATTTAGATCCTGGTTTTGGTTTCTGGTCCAGTTTTTCCTGTAAAAAATTAAGATTTAAACAGTTAAATTTCATCACATAACTACTGCTTTTAAAGCTATTTGGTTACAGTTTTATGACTGTTTGCCCAGAACTCAGATCGCACCAGACCGCTCAGCGATCCCCTCCTGAAAGCCCCGCCTCCGAGGAGCCCATGCAGATGGGGAGTAAATGAGTATTTTATTCATAGTGGCTACAGTTATGAACAACTACATAAATATTGGTAACACTTTCCAATTAGGATACCTTTATTAATGTTAGTGAATCAATAAACTATTAAATAATAACTGCTTAATATGTTAATAAGTAATTGATCACTAAGCAGACACCTCCCCTGACCTTTTGTCCAAATCTATAAGGACACTTAATAGTAACAATATCAAGAAGGGATCCTTTGTTTGTTAATGCTAAATAATGTTAATAAAGGGACTCTTATTGTTAAGTCTTCCCTAAATATAAAATGTAGGGAAATTTACCCGAAGCAATTGTTCAACTTTGGTCTAAAATGTCAAGTTTCATAAACAAATCTAGTTTTAGATGCCAAATCAACTGCAGTTTGTAGAGAAAAGCAATCTGCACTAAACTATCTGTCATTGGCTGGGGTGAGTACTCCTCATTCACCTTAACATCTTTGAGTCTCTTGCCAGGAGAGGGAGTGCCCAGCTGTTCCTGATCAGCAATCAGCGGGGTGTTTCCTACTTAAGGTGGATGGAGGACACAATTCAACGCCGGAAGATTGCCTCTGCTTGGTAGTGCCCAGCCACTCGAGTTTTTCTCTTGGATCTCTAGGATTAATGTTGCTAGTAGTGTTTTTGCTCTAGGATTCCTGTGTTCTCTGGTCACACGGCTTTTTGGATACTTACCTCAGGACTCCAGGATTTTGGATACTCAGAACACTGGACCCACTCACCGTTCTCCATAACTCTCCTCTGACATCACTACCCATTGCCCCCATCCACCAGGACGCCCCACTTATCTCCTCCTGTGCTCACTCTCCTGCGCTCCCCCTGGCTTTCAACCTGCTCCCTCCTCCAGCCAGCAACTCACGTCCTACTGTAAGTTCCGATGAACTAATTCTGACTAGAAATGGACTTCAGGAACTAAACTTTACTCACCAGTGTTCTCCCTCCTCCAGACACAGAGCTCCCGTAGCAGTACCAGCCACAGACAATTCTGTGCATCCTCAGTTTCCTTCTCTGTTAATAAAATTATTTTTATTTTTTACCCCGTTCTTGGTCTGTGTTGTGTTCTGCATATCTTGGGATAGGCGCCTTCCCCAATCATGGCAGAATCTTCCGGCCAAAACACTAACCCCGCAGACGCAGCACTGACCAATTTCTCTCACAGACTTTTACAGCAGGAACAGGCGATACCGCAACTAATGGAACAACTCACCACTGCCAACGCCTGTTATCAGCATCTGGAAAGTTTGGTTCAACAGATCCATGATCGGCTTTCCCAACAGCCGACCCAGTCCACTCCAACAGAACCCCGACCTTCCGTTCCGTTTGCTCCCGCTGCACCTGGAGCCGTGAACACGGAGATGAATCACTTCCGCCTGGCTTCCTCTCCACCTGCTGTCACATACAGTGGTGAGTTTGAGGACTGTCAGAGTTTTTTGTTACAATGCCGTTTGGCTTTTGAGCGCTCTCCAGGAGCTTTTTCGTTGGACTCAATTAAAATCTCTTATGTTATCGGGTTACTTAGAGGCAGAGCTTTAAGATGGGCCGAGGCCAAGAGCCACAGTGGCTCTTTCCTTACCGGCTCATATGCTGATTTTTTTATTATCTGAGCTTACTCTGACTTTTGGTGTTACGGAGTCCTTAGCGGACATCAGGAAGCAGCTCTGGACTTTAACTCAAGGGCGCAGACCAGTAGCAGAGATGTCTGTAGAATTCCGAACTCTCGCAGCCAGAACTCCCTGGAATGAGGAAGCTTTAATAGCAGCTTTTACAGAGGCCTTGAACGATCGTATCCACGATCAACTCGCTTTGTGCCCCGAGCCTCGCTCCGTGGAGGAGCTGATACGTCTGGTCATTTCTATTGACCGCCGCCACCAGGAATTAAGGCGACCCAGCGCCCGTTCCAGCGAGGCCCAGAACTCAGATCGCACCAGACAGACCGCTCAGCGATCCCCTCCTGAAAGCCCCGCCTCCGAGGAGCCCAGGCAGATGGGGAGGAATTGATTGACGCAGGAGGTTCGGCAACACCGGTTAAGGTCAGGTCTCTGCATGTACTGTGGTGAGCCAGGTCACTATGCTAGAAGCTGTCTGTTGTTAAAAGAAACAGTCCCCCCTTAAATAGGGGACTACTGGTGGGCAGCCATTCTAATTCTGCAGTTCCCCGTTTTTCCCTCCCATGTACAGTTGTGGTTAATTCAAAACAGATCCAGCTGGAGACTCTTGTGGATTCTGGGTGTGAGCGCTCCCTGCTAGATTCTGGCCTGGTGACTAAATGGAACATACCCACCATCCGGTTGACCACTCCACTCTCAGTCACAGCCCTTGATGAACGCTCCCTCACCACCATCACCCACAAGATGCTTCCTCTTCACCTCCAGGTATCGGGAAATCATTCTGAGCAACTTGAGTTTTTTGTGTTTCCTTCTCCCCAGTCCCTTTTGGTTCTTGGTCACTCCTGGTTAAAACTTCACAATCCCCAATTGGACTGGAGTAGAAATCAGATCACCGGCTGGAGTCCCACCCGCTCACAGAACTGTCTACGCTCTGTTTCTCCCGCTCCTCGCTGCCTCCCAACGCCCTTGGAGGAGGAGATTGACCTGTCTACTGTCCCCCCAGTGTATCATGATCTCAGGCATTGACATTTTGCCCGGAGCACCCTTACCATCTAGCCAGCTTTACCATCTTTCGAAGCCTGAGAGGGAGAGTATGGAGCCCTATATACAGGATGCCTTATCAGCCGGCACAATCCGTCCTTCGACGTCATCCCCGGGAGCGGGGTTTTTCTTTGTGCCCAAGAAGGGTGGAACATTAAGGCCCTGCATCGATTACAGAGGACTGAATCAGATTTCAGTAAAGAACAAATATCTTCTGCTCCTGCTGTCATCTACCTTCGAGCCCATTCAGGACTTGGTGATATTTACCAGGTTAGACCTCAGGAATGCATACCATTTGGCACGTATACGTCAGGGTGGCGAGTGGAAAACAGCTTTTAAGACACCCTTGGGATATTTCGAGTATTTAGTCATGCCGTTTGGACTAACAAATGCACCCGCTGTTTTCCAGACTCTTGTTAATTCTGTTTTGGGTGATTATTTAAATAAGTTTGTCACTGTCTATCTAGACGACATCCTAATTTTTTCCAGGACCGAGGCAGAGCATGTTCAGCACGTGAGAGCAGTTCTACAACGACTGCTGGAGAACTGACTGTACGTGAAGGCGGAAAAATGTGAATTCCATGTCCCAACGGTGAGGTTCCTGGGATTTGTTATAGAATGTGGAAAACTGAAAGCAGATCCAGAGAAGGTGCGTGCAGTACTGGAGTGGCCCACTCACACGTCCAGAAAACAGTTACAGAGGTTCTTAGGCTTTGCCAACTTCTACAGAAGGTTCATTAGGAACTATAGCCAGACTGCTGCCCCTCTCACCACACTCACCTCTGTCAAACATTTTTTTGGTCCCCAGAAGCTGAAGCTGCCTTCCAGGCTTTGAAGAGACTCTTTACAGAAGCCCCTGTGCTCTACTGGCCTGACACCCAACAACAATTCACCCTTGAGGTGGATGCCTCTGACACCGGGGTGGGTGCTGTCCTGTCTCAAGTCTCACCATCAGACCACCGCTTGCATCCCTGCACATTCTTCTCATGCCTGCAGAGAGCAGGTACGATGTTGGAGATCGGGAGTTACTAGCGCTCAAGCTGGCAATTGAGGAGTGGAGACACTGGCTGGAGGGAGCAGAAAAGCCATTTGGATGGACCACAAGAACCTTGTGTACCTGCGGGAGGCAAAAAGACTCAATCCCAGGCAGTACTGGTGGTCCCTTTTCTTTTCTCATTTTAACTTTGTGATTTCTTACCGACCTGGGTACAAGAACTCAAAGCCGGATGTCCTTTCCCGGCAATTTCCCGGCAATTCGCCCCCAATCAGGAAGCGGAACCCACCACCATCCTTTCTCCGTAGTGCGTCGTTGGAGGAGTGACTTGGGAGATCAGGGACCAGGTGCTTCAAGCCCAACAGAACGACCCTGACCTGGGAAATGGACCCCCGAATAGACTGTTTGTGCCGTAGGTCATGCGCGGCAAGGTCATCCATTGGGGTCATACGGGAAGGTTTGCTATCCATCCTGGAGTAGGATGCACAGTGGCGCTCCTTCGGAGAACTTTTTGGTGGCCTTCCTTGTATCAGGACGTTAAGAGTTATGTGTCAGGTTGTCACACATGCGCCCAGCAGAAGGGGGATAACAGAACGCCTGCAGGTCTTTTAAACCCCCTATCCACGCCCTCACGGCCGTGGTCTCATATTGCACTGGACTTTGTTTGTGGTTTGCCTGTCTCTCACGGTTTTAACACTGTTCTCACTATTGACAGATTTTCTAAAGCATGTCATCTTGTCCCTTTAAAATATCTCCCCTCTGCCGCCATTACAGCTCAGCTGGTCATAAAACATGTGTTTAGTCTCCACAGCATTCCTGAGGAGATTTTGTCAGACCGTCGTCCCCAATTTGTGGCACGGGTCTGGAAGGACTTCGCTGAAACCCTGGGGGCTCGTGTCGCGCTCACATCTGGCCACCATCCTCAGACTAACGGCCAGTGTGAGCGCATGAATCAAGAACTGGGGGCGATGCTTCGCTGTGTGTGCTCCACCCATCCTACAACATGGAGCTCTCATCTCACTGTCATGAGCCGGGGTGAGTACTCCTCATTCACCTTAACATCTTTGAGTCTCTTGCCAGGAGAGGGAGTGCCCAGCTGTTCCTGATCAGCAATCAGCGGGGTGCTTCCGACTTAAGGTGGATGGAGGACACAATTCAACGCCGGAAGAT